CTGGAGTTTGTCGGGCCCGAGCAGCGGGTGCTGATCACCACCCTGGTCGGCATGTTCTACTCGGGCGGCAACGCCGTCATGGGCGCGCTGGCCTGGGCGTTGCGGGACTGGCGGTGGCTGCTGCGGGCCGTGTACGGCGGCGGCCTCGTCTTCGCCATCCCGCTGTGGTGAGTGCCCTCCCCTGGTGCGAACTTGTAAAGTACCGGGTGTTTCAGAGAAGACGCAGGTGCAAGCGGGTCTCTGCCCGTAAGGCGCCATAGCCCCTTGGGTAAGCAAACCCGCCCGCACCTGCGTCTTCTCTGAATCACCCGGTATACAGCCTGCCGCGCTGATCAGCCGGGCGGTCTCCGAGGCTCAAACTAAAGCGCAACCTTCCCGCCGCTCAGGTTCACCCCCGAGTCCGTGCGCTGGCTGGCGGCCGTCGGCCGCTTGGAGGAGGCGGACGCCGTCGTGGCCAGGGTGGCCGCCATCAACAGGGTGACCGTCAACGAGACACTGAGTGGCGTGGACGTCGAAGCGGAGTCGGCAGTGAGTGAAGTGAGGGCCTCCAGGCTACTTTCAATGCCAATAATACATAATGAAATTAGACATTAATATTGATATTTTGTGCAACACTATCCGTAACTGACTCTTTCGTCTTTCAGTGCCAATTTTTGTCATTACACCGAAGGGGGGCTGATGTTTCACTTTGTTCCTGTGCAGGACAGTAAGTCGACGGAGAGCGCCGGAACCTTGAAAACGCTCATCAGCGTCTTCAAATCCAGGACCCTTCTCCTGCGGTTCATCACTTGTGCCCTCTGCTGGTGAGTCCAAGGAACAAGCTACATAAGTAGTGCAATCACCAACAGCAGTCATCGCTGTAATGTTGTTGTGGTGCTGCCCAGGGTGCTTCAATTGTGTTGTGGTTGTTTCAGGCTGGCTAGCTGTTTCGTGTATTACGGCCTGTTGTTAAACACAGTGACGCTCTCCGGCGACCAGTACGTCAACTTTGCGCTGTCGGGCCTGGTGGAGATCCCGTCCAACCTGCTCTCCCTGTGGCTGCAGTACAACGCCGGCCGTCGCTGGTCCGTGGCCGGCACGCTGGTCGTGGCCGGGGTCTTCTGTCTCGCCATCCTGGGCGTCCCAGCGGGTGAGTGGACGACGTCGACGTCCCATGACAAAAGGAGGCTATGTACTCGCTCTCGCCGTATCCATAGATGCTGACCGTTTTGCCTCCCCTCCGCAGACATCCAGTGGTTGGTGGTGGTGCTGTACATACTCGGCAGGTTCACCGTCATCAATTCGATCAACCTGCTGTACGTCGTAACCGCCGAAATCTTCCCCACCAACGTCCGCCAGTCCATGTTGAACTCCTGCATGACGTTCGGCAGGATCGGCGTCGTCCTGGCTCCGCAGACGCCCCTGCTGGTGAGTTGTGTCGCGAGGAGATAAAGGAGCTCTGTCCGACAATGATGCTGCGCATCGCCTACAAGTTCCCCGTGCCGCAGGCGACCGTGAGCGAGTCGTTGCCGCTGACGCTGTTCGGCGTCGTGTCGCTGTCCAGCGGGCTGCTCGCGCTGCTGTTCCCCGAGACCAAGGGCCGGCCGCTGCCGGAGACGCTGGAGGAGGCGGAGAGCCTCGGCGCGGACCAGGGCTGCTTCAGGGCGTGCTGTCCGTCGTGGTGCAAGAGGCGGCAGAGCTCGGAGGAACACAAGGACGTATAGGCGCCCTCCGCACCCCCGACGCCGACTTCGCA